CAAAAGTGACATATATATCAAATTCGCGAATTACAGACCTATCCCTTCTCCCAATATCAAATTTATTACCGTTTAGTACTTTTCGTACAAATATAGGACGCATTACCATACCACCGCCCAATTTCAAACACAGAAACTATCGGTATTCTAAGTATTAAATTTTAGGAATTTCTATTTTCTCCATACCTTCACCCAATACCAAATATAGTACCATTCAGTACGTTTCGTGCAATTATAGTACACATATCCGAGACCCATTCCATATTTTTAGGGTAGACATGAACAGCGGCGGTTATACAAAATTTCAGATTTCAAGCACTATCTGTTCATCTAGTACAAAAGTGTACAAAATATAGTACTTTTCGTGCACTTGTAGTACTCATTCCGAAAACCTCCTCTTTACCACAAACCTACCATCAACAGGGAGCTCAATACAAATATCTGTGTATATCTGTGTTCATTCACATAATACAAAATGGGATAATTATAAAAGTTTAGTACCATTTTAGAACATTTGGTAACCTTAAAGAGCGAATTTCCATAAACTCAGTGAATCTTAGTACATGATTCTTGCTCATTCTGTTTGTCCATTACAAAGTATTAAGTTATTAGAACATTTTAGTGCTTTTCGTACCCTTTTAGTATGAATTTGCAAAAACCCAGCCTCATCATACGCTTACGCACCTGTGACACTTTTTTTGCACAAGAACTGGTCGATATAAAGTATTTTGGTGCCGGCCATAATTTTAATTCGAAAAAGAATTTATTTGGTATTTTGAAATTTTTATTTGTAGAAATTGTTCAAAGTAGGTAAAGATTTTGGAATAGCTGCCCCACATAAAGGAACTACCCAAACATGGGTATTTTGATGGCCCAACCACAAATTCATATGTTCAAGTTGTACCGATAATATGCGATTTTGCAAAAAATTTTGGAAGTTTTGGCATGTGGCCCAAGCCCAAATCAAATTGAGGACGACCGATTTTAATAATTTCTACAACTTCAATGGCTTTTTCTTTGTTCCATTTAACATCTGCAAATATTTTTCGTGTAAAATTTATTTTTTATTTCAACTTTATTCGCTCGATGGAAATCTGAGAATAGCATCACGTCATGCGTATGATAAATATGTTCTTCGTAAAACCTCATAAATAAAATAGCTGTAAACGACGTTCAAATGCAGATTTTCATTAGAAAACTTTTGGTTTCTTTGACAAATGCGGCGACAAGAAAGTGAAAGAGAAGACGAAGCAATAACGTCATTAGGTAAACTCAAATGATGTTGTTTGTAATTATTCCTTGTGGACTGGAGGACAGGCGGATGGACGGACGGACGGACAGCGGCGACAAAGTAAAAGTATAAAGTACCAAGAAGCTGAGATTAATGTGTACAAAGTGATGCATTAGTAAGTAGGTAGATGGATGAATGGATGGACGACTATGAGTGGGACAGTGGTATGCAAGGATACTTTTTGAAATATGAATTTTAAAATTGTTTTATTGGATTCTGTGACTGAATGTAGACTTGCAATCACTTAAAAATACTAGGTTTGATTATAGCAAAAACAGGAAAGAAAAAAAACAAGTAAAAAACTTTAAATATAAGTATCCGGATTCAAATACCAGTACCCGGCCGAACTTAGCTGTTTTTTATAATAAGTGGATTATTTAAAACGGTCAGGGTACAAATACTTACATATGGCAAAAATTTCAAAAAAATCGAGAGTTTTAACTAAACCAGAGTTGTTTTTTTAGTAACAACAATTAAAAAAGCAACTCTGGTTTAGTTAAAACTCTCGATATTTTTTTTTTTGAAATTTTTGCCACATGTAATTATTTGTACCCTGACCGTTTTAAATAATCCACTTATTGGATAGGTATTTTCCTTAGCTTTAAAATTAGTCCAATATTATCTATATCGGTTTAAAAGATTCCGTGTACTTACCCCCGAAAAGTGGTTTATCGAAATAATGGAATCTTTGAACGAAATCCGTTTCATAATCTTTAAAGTCGATATAGCCATGTCCCTCTCTGTCTTGTTATCTGGAACATACAACTCTCGAATGACTAAATTTCTGATTGACAGAGGATCAATGCCAGACGAAACGACTGAAGCTAGAATCCTTAAATTTTACACGAGGATTTGCTTGGTACCTAGACGTGTGTTAAGGGTTTTTTTTAGAAATTTGTAGTAAAAGGGTACGAAAAGTATTACAATGTATATGAAGTGAATAATTTGTGTTGGACAAACAGTGAATTATGAAATTTTAAATGAGAGTCACCGATGGAGGGCAGGAAAGATGTACCGAAGGGTTTTAGGATCCCTTTTGGTGATAGGTTTGTGACAAAGAGGTTGTTTTGGGAAGTGTGTTCTACAAGTGCACGAAAAGTACGAAATAGTACTATTTTTGGTACAATTTAGTATTGGGTAAGCAGTTAGTGCTCGGAATCTGAAATTTGCTATTAGGGTCGCTACTCATGTTTAGCCAGGACATATTGAAATGATTGCGGAAACGTGTACTATAAATGTACAAAACGTATTGAATGGTACTATATTTGGTATTGGGTGAGGAGATAGAGATAAAATTCTGAAATTTGGTATTTAGATTAGTAATGGTATCAGTGTTTGAGATTATGCGGTGCTTTGGAAATGCGTCATTTATTTGTACAAAAAGTACCAAATGGTACTAAATTTGGTTTTTGGGTGAAGGGACAGGGCTGGACATCTCAAATTTGATATTGGCGTCTGTTGGTATCTGGAATTGAAATATGGAGCCGGGATAGAGCTGAGTACGTGAGTTTCTTTATCGCTATAACTGTTGGTGTCTAGGTTTGAGAAATTAATATAAAAATTATATGAAAATTACTAAATGTTACTAAATTTAGCATTGGGTGGAGGAATAGAGCTGAAAACACGAAATTCTATATCTGTTCGTATTTGGGATTGCGATATGGTGGTGGTTTTTGGAATGCGTATTATGATTGTTCGAAAAATCCTAAATGGTACTAAATTTCCTGCCGAGAGAATAGACAGAGCTTGACTCCTTAAATATAATATTGAGTTCTCTGTTGGTATTTTTGGAGCTTTCTAGCAAAATAATGAAAGTGAAGAGTATCTACTTCTAGTTATTCTTGGTATATACAATTACCATCACCTTTGTGAACAGACAAAACCAACTTACATGGTTATGCTACTTCGTTCAGGTTGAACGAAAGCATAACAAGTGGAGAAAGATGAAAATGTTTATAAGATTTAGAAGATTTTCCAAAAGAATTTTAGTTTTATTTAATTCTTTGGTTCCTCTTCTATTGAGCTTACGATCTCGTCACTTGGGTAAAAAAAAAATGTTTTTTGTCATAGAAGTTATTTTTAAAATAACTTCTGGGGAGAATATCCCAGACAAAAAACAAGGGAACTGATGAGGATTGGTGGCTCTTTTCGAAACCTAGGTATTCCCTGCCTTACCCCCTGGTAAACATTACCATCGTTCTCCACTAATAAACAAACGTTGTTTTTATAAAAACAACAATAAAGGGATAAGCCTGACCATTTTGCAACAACAAAATACTACGGTATCCCGAACAAACAAGCCACACTGTTCTAGACCGTAAAATTCTTTTACGGATTTTCTATTTAAAGTCATTAGTCATGCGAAATATTTAAGGAACATTTGCGGCCAAAATTTAAGAATTTTTTAAAGATTTCTGACCAAAAAATTCGGATTTTTGGGAATATTTTTATACAAGGGTCTTCTGTTTTTTAAGGACTTGCTGGAAATCAGGGATTTCTTAAGATTTTTTTATATTTCAAGGACTTCATGTACAACTTTACAAAAAATTATTCATTTTTTTACAATTGGTTTTTGAGGAAGTAATAACGAGAAAAGGATTTTTCTGGACAAAAATAGTGGATTTTTATGAATAATTGTAAATTTCTTAGACAGGTTCAAGAACTACCTGGTAAATAATTTGGGATTTTTAAGGTTTTTTTTTGAGGTTTTCTAGCAAAAGGAATGAAAATAAAGAATATCTACTACCAGTTATTCCTATTAGATAAAATTAGCAAGCCCTTGCGTCGCCTCTGTATGAAAGTCGTAAATTTTGTTTTCAGAATATCTGGGCCAAAAATTCAGATTTTTTTTAAGATTTCTGGCTATACATCCGAATCAAAAATTTCGGATTTATGGGAATATTTCTATACAAGACTCGTCCATTTTTTAAGGACTTGCTGAAAATCAGGGATTTCTAAGGATTATTTATATTTCAAGGACTTCACGTACAACTTGACAAAATATCCCCAATTTTTACAAAAATACAAATTGGTTTCTAAGGAAGTCATAAACAGAAGATTTTATTTTATTTTTTTTTTTTTTTGACAAAAGTCGTGAATTGCATGTTTTGTAATCAGCTTTTGCAGATTTTGAAATCTGTCGAAATCGTTTATTTTCCCCCCAGACAAATGTTTCAAGAACATCTGAGCTAAAAATTGAAAATTTATTAAGATTTTTTCCAGTACAGCCTGAAAAAAAATTTAGTATTTGTTGGAACATTTTTTTACGAGGGTCATAATTTTTTTTATTTATAAGACCTCTTAGTAAAAAATATTGATTTTTTAGATGTTTCTCAAGATCCTCTTGCAGAAAAAAATTAAGAACGTATTGGTGACCTTTGATCGCATATTAACTATACCCTATCCATATGCGATCAAAACTCTCCAAGATGTCCTTAATATATATAGCCGAGTGACATGAACAAATGTTTCCTGAAGACACTTTTTGAAGGTCTTTAAAATTCAATGCCTTGTTTAAAACTAGTTATCCTTGTACAATTCTGTTTTCATCTAAAACTAGATTTTCCCACTGTCCCCCGCCCATCCGTGTCAACTAACATCTTCAGGATCATCGCATCATCTGTGTTCCCGCAAACAAACACACACACACACACTCACACATTATCTTTATTATTATCCTCTTTGGGTAAACATGTTGTGTCATACTCACTGTTTTTCTTTGCGATGTTGGCGTTTCCTCTTGAATGCCTTTTTGACACGCAACAACAGGAATGCCGCTCGATCCACCGAAAGTGTGGTTGAACTTTTTTTGGCGGCAGGTGGCGGTGCTGGGGGTGGTGGCGAAATACCACCACCCGTCGAAAGACCTGGTGTGGCGGTGGGCGATGATGAGGCTGTGGTTGCCGTTGTGTGATGATGTTGGTGTTGTTGTTGTTGATGGTGGTGGGAGGTGAGAACATTTTCCATAGCGTTTTCTTGATTTTTGCTTTGAATGTGAAATGGAAAGTTGTTGCTGTTGCAGATGTTGTTGTTGTTTCTTTTGTCAGTCAACTTGTTTTAATTACATCCAACAGTAGTGTCCTTTGTTCAGAGGATATTCTCCAGCAAGGATATTTGGTGAAAAGCAAAGCAAGTGCAAGAAGTGGTGATAGTTTGCTGCCAAAGGAGAGTAGGTCTCTGCCGCCCGCTCTCTCTCTCTCTCTCTCTCTCTCTCTCTCTCTCTTTGAGACTATTTGGCAATTTGTCCTTTTTTGTATGGCAAAAATAAAAGATGAATAGAAGTCGTTCTAGATACAAAAAGTTCTTAAGAAAAACTTTTGCTGCAGCATCTTCATCAGCATCATAAACTGCATTAGTATCAGGACAATGTTGCTGTGGATGCTTTCAACATTATTTGCCCAGCTTCCTTGAGATGGCTATTGGTTTGAGCAGGGTAATGGGATGGCAATGTCGAAATAAAACAATAAACCACTTTGTAATGATGGCCAATGTCAGTTAACGTCAGCCAGAACTCTTTGTCCCCCGTTAGAAGACAACGGAGATTTTTATTCAATTTTCTAGTTTTATGTTGCAAATTGTTGTTCTCGTCGTCGTTCGTCCTCGTTGTCAACAGTTACGTTAGCTACTCGCCTTGTTTGAGGTCCTTTTTATACACTTCGACTCAACCGAGTGATTTTATGATCCAATACTTTTGCAACAAATGGACGTATGGTTCGTTTTTCATTCCATGGTTGGTTATCTAAACGGCCTGGTTGCCAAAGCGGTTGAATGAGTGTTGGGCTGACTGGCAGGATAAATGATTGGATGGATGGACAAATTGTTTGTTTTTGTTGATGTTGTTGTTGCTTTTTTTGTAAAATAAATTTAAGTGATATTTAGTGCTTATATCCTTTTTCCTTCGTCGACCAGCTGTGGCCTATGGTCTAGGCAATAAGTTTGGCCAACCAACAGCTTGATTGGTGGTTGTGTGTCTTTATCTATGAGAATCCTTTTCCTGACCCCTTTCTCTCTTACTCTCTCCCTCCTCTGTTTTGATGAGGTACAATGATGGTGATTTACTTCCAGTTTCCGGCAATTTCCTGTTTTACAGACAGCCTGGCTTAGCCTTGCCTTTTTCTCTATTCTCCACTGTTTACTTTTGACTTGCAGACTTTAAGGATTTTATTTATTTTATTTTTCAATACGTTGTTGTTGTTTTTTATTCTTCCCTCTCTCTCTCTCTCTCTCTCTCTGGTATTTCTTTTCACATTGCCTTGATACGGGAAACCCATCAATTGTCATTTAGTTTCGTTGTTTTGTTCTTCAGCGTGGTTTCCTTGTTGAAAGGTTTCGCCTCTTGTTTTGTTTCTCGTTACAAACTCATCCTCCTCCTACTCCTGCAAAATTGAAAAAAAAAAACAAACAAGAAAAAAGGATTTAAGAAAAGAGGACAAATGTGAAATGTTTTTCGTAAAAAGTTAAATATTTAATATTTTTGTTTTCTTTTTTTTTGGAGAAAATTTATTTAGGGTCACTTAGCAAACATTCCGACCTTTTTAAAAGGAAGCCAGTCTCCATCATAATCGCTTGTGAAATAAAAATAATGCAATTAATTTAAGAGGATTTTGCTACTTTTCCCTAAGTTCCCAGAGAAATTAAGTAATTCAAACTTTTATGGCTGGGTTATGACATGGCCACCTCCGAAGTTAGCTAAGAAAAGTCTGAAGTCTGAAATTTGCTATGAATATTAAAACTATGTTTACCAACTACAATGGAAGATTATTTACTTAAAACGAGTTGGGTCAAAGGATATGTGGTTGTCCTTTTTGACAACAATCCCAAACGAAGACATCAGGGCCCATTACAGGTCTCCTACAGTGTTCTAATGGTTATATATTCACTTGTAACACATGATCGTCGGTTTGAGACCACCATAAAGAACTTAATTACCAAATTCCGGTGAATATTCACTCTTTGCCTAGCCACCGAAAAGAATGAGTAGAGGGCGTACAGCTGGTGGAATCGTCGGTCCTTATTTCTTTAAAAATGAGGAAGGACGACGCGTTTCCGTAAATAGAAATCGCTAAGACTCATGATATGGATTTCAACGAAATGGGGTTTCAACAAGATGTCGCCACTTGTCATATAGTCAACCACAGCATTATTTCTGGAAATGGACGGGGTTATGGACCTACGCGTTCGTGTGATTTGACGCCACTCGATTATTTTTATGGAGATATCTGAAGTCATTGACTGACTGAGAATCAACGCCCAGACGAAACGGCTAAACCTGGGAGAGAAGACTTGTAATAGGGTACAAAACCACTAAATCAATCTTCTGTATTGGACAAGTGAAAAGGGGTAAAATTCTGAAATTTGGAATGAGAGTCACTGGTGGAGAGCGGAATAGATATGCCATGTTTTTTATACCCTACACCACAAGGTGGTCAGGATATTATGTCTTTGTGCATTTGTTTGAAACAGGCAAAAGGAAACGAGATAGACCCATAGTTCCTTTTGATGATCTGCATAGAATCACATTCTGAGTCGATTTATGCATGTCCGTCCGTCCGTCCGTCCGTCCGTCTGTCCATGTATTTTTGTAAACAAAGTACAGTTCGCATTTATTGCCCTATCCAGATGAAATTTTGCACAAATCATTTGTTTGGCCCAAGGACGAACCCTATTGAAATTGGAGATAATCGGTCAAAATTTAGATATAGCTCCCATATATATCTTCGTCCGATTTGCCTTTTATTGTGCACCAAACGTGTAATATCAGTCCGAATAGTATGGAATTTTGCACGCACGATCAGATTGGACCTGAAAATGAGTATGCCAAATTTTATCGAAATCGGTTCAGATATAGCTATAGCTCCCATATATATTGTTCATCCGATTTGTTATTTTTGTCCTCCGCAGCCGTAATATGCACTCTGTAACAACAATATTTTGGGAAATATATCAAATGCAGCTCAGAAATACCTTTGCTAAATTTTATCGAGATCGGTTCAGATTTGGATATAGCTCCCATATATAACTTCGACCGATTTACCCTTGATTGTACACCAAACTTCTAATATTTGCCCAAATTGGATGACATTTGGCACTTACGACCGAATTGAGTCTAGAAGCTGGTATGTCAAATTTGTTGAAGATCGGTTCAGATATATCTATAGCTCCCATATATACTGTTCATCCGATTTGTCATATTTGTTACCCACAGCCGTAATATGCACTCCGTAACAACGATATTCAAGGAAATATATCAAATACAGCTCAGAAATATATTTGCCAAATTTTATGGAGATCGGTTCCGATTTGGATATAGCTCCCATATATATCTTTATCCGATTTCAAATTAATTGTGCACAAAATGGGTAATACAAGTCCGAAATTAAAAGATACAAATGCTTCGGCATATTTGATCCTTTGAACTTTAAATTATAATTATAATCAAAGCGTGTATGATTGAATTCTCCCATAAAAACTTTTAATTGTTATGCGCAGCTCTGCTAAATTAGTAAAGTGGTGTAGGGTATCATAAAGTCGGCCCCGACCGACTTTAAGGCTTTCTTTACTTTTTTTTTTTTTTTTTTTTTTGGAAATTTGAACATAATAAACTGGTACTAAATTTCCAAAATGATAAAATGGAGCTAAAATCTTGAAATTTGATATGAGAATCCCGGTTGGAAGGTAAGTTTAATGTATAAAAGTGGTTTGGAAATGTGTGCAAACGGTACTAAATGGTACTAAATTTGAAACAGTTTGGTTTTGTATGAACGGATAAAACTGGAAATTTTGTATCGGGATCTCTGTTGGTGACAGCTTTGTGATAAAGATTTGATATTTGGAAATATGTACTACAGGTGCATGAAAAGTACGAAATAGTACTCTATTTGGTACTATTTGGTATTGAGTGGACAGATAGAGCTTGAAATTTGAAATTTGTAGTCGTAGTCACAGGCCACATGGAAGTGATTTCGAAAATGTGTACCATAATTGTACAAAAATAAATAAATGGTACTAAATTTGGTATTGAGTGCGTGGATGGGGCTGGATCCCTCAAATTTAATATTAAGCTCTCCCTTGGTATCTGGAACTGGCTTTGGAAATGTGTACTATAATTGTATGAAAAGTACTAAATGGTAGTATAGTTGGTAATGGGTTAATATTTAGATTAATGTCCTTAAGTTGTACTATACTTGTACAAAAATGAATAAATGGTACTAAATTTGATATTGGGTACGTGGATGTGGTTGGATCCCTCAAATTTAATATTAAGCTCTCTGTTTGTATCTGGAATTTACATGTGCACTATAATTGTACGAAAAGTACTAAATAGTTGTATAGTTGGTATTGGGTGAATATTAAGATTAATATCCTTAAGTCGAAGTTGGTATATGTGGTAGAGACGTGGAGGTGGTTTTGGAAGTGTTTTCGATATTTGTACGACAAATACTAAATTTGGTACTGGACGATGGAATAGAGCTGCAGTTTAATATAGATGTCACTTTTTGTCTGTGTGGTTAAGATATGGAGGTGGTTTTGAAAATGTGTACTAAAATGTGTTCAAATTGGGAAAGCTTGAATATTGAAATTGAGATTACTTCTGGTATTAGGTGTTGAGATCAGGTGAGAGGTACCATAATATAAAGTTTTAATAAAAATATTTTGTCAAACTAAAGAAATTGTGCATTTCGAGTACTAACAAATTAAAACGTAATGCCAGACGTACAGGGTTGCCCATATTCGACGGACCCATCTGGCAACGCCATAACTTTTGACAGAGATGTCACATCGCTTAATGACATACAATATTTCAAGCGTCAGTCCAAGCAGATTTTTACCATGAATCAATACACGCCACACGAGCGCTCTGAAATAGTTGAAATTTACATTCAACAGCAAAAGTCGATTGTGAACACTCAACGTGCTCTTAAAACATTAAAAAATGTGAGAAGTGCGCCTTCTAAGAACACCATTAAGCGTTTATACGAAAAATTTTCGACTGGTAAGGCTCTTTCTAATCCGAAGAGGCCATATAAAAGTCGACCAAGGCGATCGGCCGAGAATATCGCTGCCGTACGAGCCAGTGTTGAGAGGTCCCCAAGAACATCCCAAAAACGCCGTTCTCAGCAGTTGGGCATGGCTCGGTCCACTTTACAACGGATTATTCGCATTGATTTGCATTTGTTCCCGCACAAAATTCAATTGACGCAAAGAATGTTGCCTGCGGACAAGCCTCGTCGATTGGAATGGGCCCAAATGTCCGTCGAATATGGACAACCCTGTATTTTCTCTGCCTTGCGTTATGATCGTTCAAACTGTTGACCCTAATAGCAAATATATTTGGATGTATAAAATTTAAAGAGAGTTGGATGTTTATTTCATTTTCTTTGAGCGTTTTGTTTTTAAAAATCTTCAACCACATGCGGGTGAGGTACAAGAAGAAATGGTCCGATCCCTACCATCATTATAATAGATCTTGTGTTGATGGAAATTTTGAGATGTACCAAGTCCGAATGAAATTGGAGAATAATTCCGCGTTTAATGAGCTTCAAGAATATTCAATATTTTTATACCCTCCACCATAGTATAGAGGGTATATTAGGTTTGTCATTCCGTTTGTAACACCCCGAAATACACATTTTAGACCCCACAAAAAGCATAAAATTCTATGTCGATTTAGCGATGTCCGTGGGTCTGTCCGTCTGTAGAAATCATTCTAGCTTCCGAACGAATTGAAGTAGATTGATAAAATTTTACTCAAATGTATGTTATGTCTGCAGAACTTTTGGTATTGAAAATGGTTTTGTATAACCCCCATATAACGGTACCTTCCGATATTCGGTATTTTTATGATTTGAGCGACATTATTCATCGGAATTGTTTCAAATTTGGTATTTGAAGTTCGTAATGGATAATACAGCCTAAGACCGAAAATTGTCTGTGCAGGTCTACGTCTTCGTAGAGCCCCCACATAACTGTACCTCCCAATATTCGGTGTTTTAATGATTTTAGCGACATTTTTCACCGGAATTGTTTCAAATTTGGTATTTGAAGTTCGTAATGAATACTACACCCTATAACAGCAAATTGGCTGTGCAGGTCCACGTCTTCATATAGTTCCCATATAGCGGTATTTTGATGATTGTAGCCGGCATAAGAAACAACTGCTAAAGACGATTCACATTAGAAATGTTACATATCATAAATGTACCACCGGAAAAATAGAATGAACTATAAAACTGATACGAACCACTGTGCACATATTTAAAGAAATTTAGTACCAAAGTACAGAGACTTATGTAGTTCGAATTTGACGTTAAATTAGAGTAGACGTTTCCCTCTAAAACAAAACTAATGTAAGATTTGTGTGTTGTGTAATTTCTCT